CAACCTTATTTTGTGAAATAGCCCTGTTCTGCTTGTGAAATCCTAACTGCTGTAGGCTATGGTATTTCAGTTAATCAATTAAGCTACCCTAGGAATAAGTGAAAGGATAAATGATTTAGAATCTTTAATGTGACAGCTCTCATGAGAACTGGTTCTTCACTTTACCATGTGGCAGAGTGGAGAGAGTAATAACAGCCATGTAAGGTGATGCTGAGAATAATTGTCTTTAGAAATCCCACAGGTTAAACTCCTCTTCCCCCAACCCACTCTCTTTTTCCATTCTGTGTCACAGTGAGTGGCATTACCATCCATGTAGATGCAAAATCAAACACTTTGGGTCATTTTTATACTTTTTCCTTTCCTTCACCCTACATCCTGCAATCCTTTATTAAGTCCTATTGGTCTTGCCTCTAAAATATATCCCATATCTATTTCTTTCCATTTTCACTGCCACCACTTTCATCCAAAACACCACACCATCTTACAGCATATGTAATTCCTTAGCATAACATTTATTGTGTATTTTATTATTTCTTGTGCCTCACCTGTAGACTGTGAACTCTCTGAGAACAATGTTTGTTTCTGATACTTTATCTCTCCAGGAACATGTTGCCATCAAATATGAAAGTGGGTGCTAATAGTGCATTACTTTCCCCCAAGTGTTCTATTTGCATTTTAACAATGGACTTTCAGAAATAATGCTTTAGAACAATGTATCCCAAATGGTGGTCTGTGAAACACTAGTCAGGTATTCCAGGTTAAATAACCAGGAACACTGCAAACTTTATCCCTTCTTGGGTAATTATAGTACCCATTTACTATATTAAAGGTTTCAAAACATATTGCAATAAAGCATACAGTTTAACTGTATATAGCCCAGCATTTTCCACACTCATTTGACCAGAGAACTTATTTTTCATGACACATCTACTAACATCCTATTGAAGGGTGTATTTTGGACACAGTCTACAAAATGACTCGTAACCAACTTCAGACATCAACTTTCCAGTGTAGGGCAGTTATAAAGGGCAGGAAGGGCATGGGTGAGCCCTGAAATTATCTTGAAAGGCTGAGGATGGCTCCCAAATGACCTCAACAACCTCTTAATAGCTTGGCATGACTATGCCATCCAAGAACCAACTCCTCAGTCTAACTTTTGGTCTGTCCAGTGTTGTTTCATCCTAGAGTATCTGAGTACCCTTGATGACTTTACACAACAATATATCCTTTGGGAATACCAGGTGATCCAGCTAATTTCTCTTTCCCATAAAAATGAAGTTATTTTTAAATTGTTAGTCCCACTGTAGGTCATTAGTTCTGTTTGGTTATTTTCCCTGGATAGAATAGGTAAATTTTTTGCTGCACTATTCAGTTGCCTTTATTCAAACTTGGCATTAATAATCCTCAGAGAAATGCATTCCTTACCATCATAAGAAGGCTCTGGTTCCTGTGTGTGTGGGAGGGGGAGTGATATTGAAGATTTATAGATATAGCTGCTTTAGCTTCTGTGAAAATCACAATAGTTCAACAGCTTGGAAACTTCCTTGGCCCATGGAAACCCCTTAGAAGCCATGTCTGTCTTTCAGTGGTCATTACTTACAAGTCACCCTACAGCTGACCAAGGGCCATGCATATCTTGCCTCACTGTCTTGCAATCCTCAACCTTATCACTGTCCTCTACATCCCCTAAGAAGACCACAGGCATCACATCTGTCTTCAAAGCAGAACTCTCTTGGAAGAAGAGTTATTACTTTTGTGTTAGCTTCTCCTCCCAAGAAAAGTGTGTCCTTCTCCTTTATAAGACAAATTCCTACCCTAAAATCTCTTCTCTTCTAAGTCCTGAAGGACCTTGTTTCTATATTTTCCATTTATTCATGTATCCATTCACAAATAGTTATTAAACAATTCCTACGTTCCATGCACTGTCCAAGGCATTGGGGTTTACAATTGAGAATAAAACAGTAACTGTCTTGTCCTCATGGAGCTCAACCAGTTCAGTTCTTGGATATTTTCCTCTCCACTATCTTCTTCTCCGGGTCCTCAAAAATAGACATGAGTGTCCTATATAGAAAAAACCCGTTGTCTTCTTAATGGCCATCTAGTCTTCTGTTTTCTACTGCCCTCACTCCTTTTTTCTAGTTTGTAAGGTGACCTTTCTAAAGCACAGATATGACTAGTATTCACTCTAGCTTAAAAAGCTCCTATGATTCCCCACCACCTACAAACTAAAGCCTCAACTTTTTATTAATGCATGCAAGACCCTACACAATATGGTCCCAGTCTGGTCTCTTGATTTAATTTCTCCCAACTCCCCATTGCAAACCTTATGTTCAAAGGTGAGACTAGGGTGAGGTACTTAGGGTATAAATCTAAGAGTGAGTATCTCCTTAAATTTTTGTGCCCTGGATGTTTCACTCAGCTTACCCTAGTCCCAACCCTGTTTATATTGGAACCACTCATGATAGGCTCTGTGTCCCTAAAAACATGAGGTGCCTTTAAATCTCCGTGCCTTTGCAATGTTTCCTTTGTTTTCACCATCCCTCTTTTTTCATAATTAAAGAAAATTTTAATTTTTTTGCTTATGTCTTTTGAGTCACACCTAACTAGAATATAAGCCCAAAGAGAGCAAGGGTCATGTCTGTGCTGCTCACTGTTGTATCTCCAGCAATTAGGAAAAGGAAGAATGAAATAAATCCAGTTCAAAAGCCACTTCTTCTGTGGAACTCTCCCTGACTCTTCTGTTCCACTGCAAATTCAATTGCTCTTACTTTCGTGTTCCAAGGATATAACTCAGTTATAGTTTTATAACATTGTAAGATATTACACTAAATCTCTCCCTTTGACTATATATATATATATATATGTATATATATATATAATCAATTTGTTTTGAATAAACTTTTTTATGTTAGAACAGTTTTAGATTTACAGAATTATTGCAAAGATAGTATAGAGAGTTTTCACATACTGCACACCCAGTTTCCCCTATTATTAACATCTTAAATTAGCATGGTACATTTTTCATAATGAACCAACATGGTACTTTATTATTGACATCCCTACTTCACTCAGATTTCCTCAGTTTTTCCCTAATGTCTCTTTTCTGTTCCACAGTATTCCAATCAGGTTACCACATTACATTCAGATGCCACATCTCTTTAGGCTCTTCTGGGTTTTGATAGTTTTTCAGACTTCCCTAGTTTTTGATGACCTTGACAGTTTTAAGGATTACTGGTCAGGAATTCAGTACAATGGATTTCAAATTTTTCTGATTTTTTTTCTCATAATTAGACTGGTGTAATGTGTTTTGGGGAGGAAGACCTCAGAGGTAAAGTGCTATTCTCATCACAATATTTCAAAAGTATATTATCAATATATGTTGACCTTGATCACTAAGCTTTAAGTAATGTTTGTTGGATTCTCTACTATAAAGTTACTATGTTTTCTGTTTTCATAATGTACTCTTTGGAAGAAAGTCACTATGTACAGCCCACACTTACAGAGTAAGGAGTCATGCCTTACCTCCTTAAGGTGCAGAATCTGTATAAATTATTTGGAATTCTTCTGCACCTGAGATTTGTCTCTTCTCATTTATTTATTTATTTATTTAGTAATTTATTTATATCAGGAAAGACTCATGGATATTTATTTTGTGCTTTTGTGTTACAAGCTTATACTATTTTGTTTTGTTATTCAAATTGTTCCAGCTTTGGTCATTAGGAGCCATTTCAATTGGCTCCTGTATTCCTTTCATATAAGCTCATTTTATTTATTAGCACATTTTTATTTCTGGTATTAGAAGATACTCCAAAGTAGTCATGTATAATTCCTATTCCAATGCTAGAATGAGCCATTTCTTCACGAAGCCCTGGTTTCTTTTAATGGAGAATGGTGTTAGAAACCAGATCTGGGTGCTAGGTGTGTTTATTGATTGTTACATTGTTTTAAGGTTTCTCATCTCACTGAGTAAGAAGAAATAAGTGTGTAAATTTAACCACTGTGCATACATATATCTATAAATATTTCATTTTATTGAGATATAATTGACATATAACATTGTGTAAGTTTCAGGTATACAGTGTTAATTTGGTACACTTATATACTGCAATATGATTATGAATGTAACATTAGCTAACACACCCATCAAGTTACATTAATTATCATTTATTTTTTGCAGTGAGAACATTTAAAATCTATTCTCTTAACAATTTTCAAGTATATAATACAGTATTGTTAATTATAACCACAATGCTGTGCTTTGGGTCTCCAGAACTTAATTCATCTTCTAAATGCAAGTTTGTGCCCTTTGACCAACATTTCAATTCCCCCACCTCCTGGCCCATGGTAACTATCATCCTATCCTCTTTTTTCACAAGTTTGGCTTTTTTTAGATTCCACATATACGTGCTATCACACAGTATTTGTTTTTCTCTTTCTGACTTATCTTTTTGAGTTAGTATTTTCATTTTCTTGAGATAAATACTCAGAAGTGGAATTACTGGATTATTGTCAGCTCTATGTATTATTATTTCTATTATATATTATATGTTATTGAAATATAGTTGACTCATAATGTTACATTAGTTTCAGATGTACAACATAGTGATTCAATAAGTCTATATGTTACAGTATGCTCACATAAGTGTAGCTACCATCTGTCACCATACAACACCATCACAATACCATTGACTATATTACCTATGCTGCATCTTTTATTCCCATGAATTCTTTATCCCATAACTGGAAGCCTGTATCTCCCACTTCCCTTCACCCTCTTTGCCTATGCCCCCACACCCTTCTCCTCTGGCAACCATCAGTTTGCTCTCTGTATTTATGGGTCTGTTTTTGCTTTTTGTTTGTTTATTCATTTGCTTTTTTTTTTTGGTTTAGATTCCACATAAAAGTGAAATCATATGGTATGCATTCTTATCTGCCTTATTTCATTTAGCATAATATCCTCTAGGTCCACCCATGTTGTCACAAATGGCAAAATCTCATCCTTTTTTTTTTTAAGAATTTTTTTTTATTATTTTTTTAAAGATTTTATTTATTTATTTGAGAGAGAGAGACAGAGAGAGAGAGCACATGAGAGGGGGGAGGGTCAGAGGGAGAAGCAGACTCCCCGCCGAGCAGGGAGCCAGATGCAGGACTCGATCCAGGGACTCCAGGATCATGACCTGAGCCGGAGGCAGTCGCTTAACCAACTGAGCCACCCAGGCGCCCAAGATCTCATCCTTTTTTATGGCTGAGCAATATTCCATTGTATCTATATATACACCACATCTTCTTTATCCGATCATCTGTCGATGGACACTTGGGTTGCTTTCATATTCCACTATTGGGTATTCACTAAAAGAAAACAAAAGCACTAATTTGAAAAGATATATGCACCTCTATGTCTAGTTTTTATTTTTTTTGAGGAAACTCCATACTGTTTTCCATAGTGGCTGCAACAATTTACATTCTCACCAACAGTGCACAAGTGTTTTTTTTTTTTCCACATCCTTGCCAATGCATGTTATTTCTTGTCTTTTGGTAATAGTCATTTTAATAAGCATATATCTAGATAGATAAATAGATAAGTGATATCTCATTGTGGTTTTGATTTGTACTTTTCTGATGAATAGTAATGTTGAACACATTTTTGTGTACATATTGGCTGTTTACATGTCTTCTTTGGAAAAAAGCTTATTCAGTTCCTTTTCCCATTTTTAAATATATATTTCCAGCTTTATAGAGAAAGAATTTTATTCTATAAGTTCCTATTATCAGATGACCCAGCCCCTCCATTATTTTCCCTCTGTCTGAGAGCATCACCTCAGAGTACAATGAAGAAAGACCCTTCAAGATATTCTCAGACCCAAATCAGATGCCAGCTGAAGAATTTTCCTGTGAATTCCTGCCAAGACCTAGGGTTGATGGCCTTTTTTTTTTTTTTTCCTAGAAACGCTGAGACATTTGGGGGAAGGACAAACTGGACATGTTCTCTTTGGGAGGCCCCTATAGCTTTGGAGAAAAGGTGCCCAAGAAATACAGAGTCACTCAAGGGAGCCAAGGAAGGGGTAGGGAGAGGGGCAATTAGTAGCTAATAAAAGAAAAATAATGCTACCCATGGTTCATATATGTATTTCATACTCAATTAGACTCAACCACCCCCAAGCGCATGCACGCACACACACACACACACACACACAGATCTTTTCAAGGGAAAAAAAGGAAAGGAGGCAAAACTAGAAGCTGATGACTTATCTCTATATCTACAGCTGTTGGTCACAAAATAAGCTTCAGTGAAAATGTAAAGCTTCCTTCCTGCTTTCTGTTGCTCACCTTACCACTTTCCTTGGACTGTTAACCAGGTTTGTCCTCCAGCCTGTCATGCCCACTGACCCCCTCTGCCCCAGAGGAGGCCATGATTTATTATTGTCTCTCACCACCAGTGCCCTCAATCTAGAAGAAAGGTGGCTTTGTGCCTTTTTACTTCTTTGTAGAGAGTCCACAGTATTCCATATCTCAACTTCTATGACCTTGATCAGTTCACTTACCACCATGAAGTCTCCTTCTTCATCTCTAAAGCAGTAATAATAATAATAATAATAATAATAATAATAATAATAATATCTATTTCAAAGTGTTGTTTGTAAGTATTAAATGAGATTTTTCTAGGTAAAGCACCTAGCACAGTGCCTGGCACATAGTACAAGCTCACTAAATGTTATTGGTTAGTATCTATTTCACACAGATACACTTTAGTCATACAATTAGTAAGAGATTGAGTAGGGACTTGAACCAATTATTTTAAAGATTTTATTTATTTATTTATTTGAGAGAGAGTACAAGCAGGGGGAGTGGCAGAGGGAGAGGGAGAAGCAGACTTCCTGCTGAACAGGGAGAGCAATGCGGTGCTCGATCCCAGGACCCCATGATGATGATCTGAGCTGAAGACAGACACAACTGACTGAGCCACCCAGGTACCCCTGAACCAATGTTTTATGACTTGGTCCAATTTATTGGTTCATGGCTCTTTCCACTTATCCTATAAGGGAACTTTGGCTTTATTTTCAACTTAGCTTCTGAGTATTAACTATGTATAAGGAACTGGGGCTTAGCATTGGAGATACCAAGATGAATGAGACATTACTCTTGCCATCGGGGAGTTCATGGCCTCATGGAAGAGAATGGTAGCTAAATAGACATTACATTACAAGAATATAATTTTGTTATAGGTGGAGGTGAAACTTTGTGGAAGCCCCAATGAGAGGCAGTTTGTTCAGAGTAGGGATAAAGGGAAAAATTCCTGCATGAGTAATCACCTGAGGGAAGTCTTGTCAGATGAGTGAGAGTGGTTTTATGAAGGGGAAGGATCTAAGTGTATAGTTGGTGGGGATTGTAGACAGGGTCCACATCTAGGTTAAGGTTCAGGAGCAAGTAATATCACAATGTGAAGAGTACCTAAGGACTGAAACATGAGGAATGAGGCAGGAGATGAAGTGAAAGAGTTAGGCAGGGGCCAGGTTTTAAAAGTTTTAGACACCAGGTTATAGAACGTTTTCTATAGGGGGAGTCTATTGGTTTTAGATAGAAGAATAACATAGTTAAATGAATGAAATCTTGCCATTTGCAACAACATAGGTGGAGCTAGAGAGTATTATGCTGAGCAAAATAAGTCAGTCAGAGAAAGACAAATACTATATGATTTTACGGATATGTGAAATTTAAGAACAAAACATATGAGCAAAGGGAAAGAGAGAGAGAGAGAGGCAAACCAAGAAACAGACTCTCAATTATAGAGAACAAACTGTTGGTTACCAGAAGGGAGGTGGGTGGGGCCTGGGTGAAATAGGTGATGAGGATTAAGGAGTGCATTTGTTGTGATGAGCACCAGGGTGATGTATGGAAGTGTTGAATCACTATATTGTACACCTGAAACTAATATTACACTGTATGTTAACTAATGGGAATTTAAATAAAAACTAAAAAAAAATAGATATGCTATTTAGAAAGACTTAAGTGGGTACACCAGATAAGAGATTATTGCAGTAGTCCAGGTTAGAGATGATGTTGGCTTCCATCAGGATGGTAGTAGTGGAAATGGAGAGAATACATCTGATAGAAGGTATATTTAGGAGATAGAAAGGATAGGACAGTACAGGATAGGGTTTGTTGAGGGATTAGATATAAAGGGTGAGAAAGAGAAATCTAGGGTTACAATAAGAATTTTGGTCTAAGCAATTTGGTAAGTGATGGTAGCATTCATAAAATTGGGAACATAGAATAAATTTTTTCTTATCCTCTCATTTTGCATGTGAGAAAATGGAATCCATCAAAGGGGAAGTGGTGTGGCCAAGGTTGAACAAAAAAATTAGGGATGAATGGGGGACCAGGACTCATTTTTTATTTAGTTTTTATTTATACATTTTCCATGGCACCAAAAAGTTCCTCTGCTCAGCAGTCTTTGTACATTGGTAAGAGATAAATGAATCAAATTAACATCAAAAGCTCAATATCAAAGTAGAAGGTAGATGGTTGGGTCATAAATCTGCAGTTTTGTTAACATGACTCACGTTGAGAGTTTATTCACTAGGCATTGATTTTTTTCTTTTAGCATTGGACTTTCAATGAATGATTTCATATAAAGCAAAACACTACCCTTAGTATTTAATGAGAGAAGAATCACCACTTAGTCAGGAGGAGATATGGTTCCTGACCATGAAGAAAATTCTGGCTGATGAGAGAGATAGTTTTCTTTCTCTAGGGAGTCCCTGTCCTCAGGAACCTCCAGTCTGATGAGGGTAATATTCGTTCATCCAACATATATCTGTTGGGAACCTACTGTGTTCCAGGCACTGTTCAAGGCACTAGGGATATGTTGGTAGGAGAATAAATGGGGCTTATATAACTGAGCTTACATTTGAGTGCAGGAGAAAGATAATAAATAGTAAATTTAATATGTAAATAAAATATAGTATGTCTGAGAAAATAAGTGTTAAGGAAAATATAAAGCAGGTGTTATGAACAGAATTGTGTGCCCCCCACCCAATTCATATGTTAGAGTCCCAACTCCCAGTGCCTCAGAATATGGCTTTATTTAGAGACAGGGTCTTCAAAGAGGTAATTAAACTGGAGTCATTGGGGTAGGCTCTAATTCAATATGGTAGGTGTCCTTATAAAAAGAAATTTGGACACAGACACATACAAAAGGAAGATTGTGTGAAAACACAGGAGAAAGATGGTCATATATAAACCAGGGAGAGAGTCTCCAAAAGAAATAAATCCTGTGTGACCTCAGACTTCTAGCCTCCAGAAGTGTGAGAAAATAAATTTCTGTTGTTTAATCCACTCAGTCTGTGGTAATTTGTTATGTCAGCCCTAGCAGACTACAGGGATACATACAGCAGGAAAAGGGGATAGGGACTGCTGGGGTAGGACTAAGGTTACAATTTTACCTACAGAAGTTAGCTGATATTTGAGCAAAAAATCTAGAAGAAGTGAGGGAGCATCACACATAGATATCTGGACAAGAGTATTCTAGGCAGAAGGGATAGCAAGTACAAAAACCCTGAGGTAGGGGTGTGCCTGGTGAGTTTGAGGAACAACAGAGAAAGTCAGAATGGCTAAAGCAGAGTAAGGTCAGAGAGTTAATATACAGTAGGGCAAATCACATAGGACCTTTTAGATTTTTGTATAGAATTTTTCTGAAAATTTTCTGGAATTTAGATCCAGCCACTGTGGAAAACAGTTGGTCATTTCCTCAACAAGTGAAAGATAGAATTGTCATATGACCCAGCAGTTCTACTTCTAGGTATATACTCAAAATAATTGAAAACAGAGACCCAAACAGATGTTTATATATGAATATTCATGGAAATATTATTCAAAATAGCTAAAAACAAGGGAAACAAAAGCAAAAATGAACTTTTGGGACCTCATCATGATAAAAAGCTTTTGCACAGCAAAGGAAACAGTCAATAAAACTAAGAAGCAACCCCCAGAATGGGAGATGATATTTGCAAATGACATTATGGATAAAGGGCTGGTATCCAAGATCTATAAACAACTTCTCAAGCTCAACACCCAAAAAACAAATAATCCAGTCAAGAAATGGGCAGAAGACATGAACAGACACTTCTCCAAAGAAGACAACCAAATGGCTAACATACACAGGAAAGGATGTTCAACATCACTAGCCATCAGGGAAATACAAATCAAAACCACATTGAGATACCACCTTACACCAGTTAGAATGGCAAAAACTAACAAGACAGGAAACAAGTGTTGGCAAGGATGTGGAGAAAGGGAAGCCCTCTTACACTGTTGGTGGGAATGCAAGCTGGTATGGCCACTCTGGAAAA